AAAAAAAAAAAATCATGCAAGAAGGACGACCCAATAGGAATTGGACACTTGTCTCATTCATATTGATTAACTAGATTTTTTAGACTAGATAATTTACAAAAAAATAATAATAATAATAATAATTGGTGTTAATTTATATTAAAAAATGAAAAAAAAAACTAAAATTTATATATATTTTTTTCATTCTCTATAACTAGAGAGTCACATTTGATATATTTTGAAATACAATTGTAATTTCTATATTAATTTCACTCTTTGTCTAGTCTTACCTTATTAATTTTATCATCTCTTTCAATTTTTTTTTTTTTATTTCCGACAAAGTAATATGGATCCAATTTTTATCTAATTACAGATATTTTTAATTAATTTATCACAACTAAAATAATAACAAAAAACCAATTGTAAATAATACTTAATAAATAAATAAAAGTAAGTATTTTTGGTTAGGTTTGGTCGCTAATAAACATAAGTTGAGTTGTATGATTGAGTTATGTATGTAGATGAAAAAATAATAATTTTTAATTGTTAAATTGTGCTAGAGATAAAGATAATCTAAGAGCACTATTGATAATGAGTGGACTTGTCTTAAGATTGACGGGCGATTCAATATAAATAAAATCGATTTTGATTTTATTTAGTATTTACTGGTTAATTGAGTTAATTTTGAATATATATGATTGGCTTTGTATTTGATATTTAAAATATAATTATTAAAATTTATGTAATGTAAAAGTAATGTATTAGATAAATTATTGAAAATAACATGTAATTAAAAATATGTGAATATTTGTTAACTAAATCAATAACATTAGAAAAGTTGAGTTTATTAAATTTAAAATTAAATTGTAAAACAATTGTCCACAGTAATGCTCACCTACCCACGGTGGACACATGTTAATATGTCCACTGCTTATGTGGCATGCACATATTGGTGATGTTAATATGTTTAAAAAAATACATCATCAATGTATACATGTCACATAAATGTGAGCATATTAACATGTGTCCACCGTGGGTAAGGGAGCATTTGTCAAAGTAAAAAACCGATGAATCACGCCATAACTAGTGTAAGACCAAGTCATGAAAACGTAGATATACGGCCCGTAGCCCATGGGCCAAGGGTAAAAGCTGCCCATTTATTTACCGGAGTCGTTAGAAGTAATCATCAAGGCATTGAATAATAATAATAATAATTTTCACACACAAAAAATACATCTTCCTTTTTTTTCAATTGTTTAATTACAAGGAAATGCTACGGTACTCTTATGCAACCATTTTGTCGGGGTTTATAATCGATCATCATGTAACCGTCAGAAATAGTTGATCAAACGGTTACAAAACCTCTGACGGAATGGTTTCGTAACGGGACAGTAACATCTAAAAACAGTTGGGCCACCCCTCCTTCTTCCTCCCCTTTTCCTTCTTAAATTCCATCATCACTTGTAGTGTGTATAAATTCACACACACAAACTCCCCATTACACTTTCCTCTTTAACCAAACACAAAGATAAATAAATATATAAAGAGAAGAATTTCATACACACATACACACTCTGAAAATGGAGGTGGAAGTCATCATCCCAACTCCGGCGTCCGCCGACTTCAACTTCGACAGCTCCTCCACTTCCCCCTTCATCAGCGCCCCCTCCAGCCCCTCCTTCTACTGCCGCTCATCTGCCGCCTCCGCCGCCGCCGCCTCGGCCGTCCCCTTCGGCTGGGAGGAGAAGCCCGGCGTCCCCAAGTCAACCGCCCCGTCCTCCGCCGCCTCCTCCACCTACGGCGACGCCGACGACGGTCTCGACGCCGCCGGAGAATTCGCCTTCGATTTCAGCGGCCACCTGCTCCGGGAGCCCCTCCCCGCCGATGAGCTCTTCGACGGCGGCAGGATCAGGCCCCTCAAGCCCCCGCCGGGCCTCCAGCGCGACCCGCCGGAGACTCCGCCGCCGCGGTCCCCCCGCTCGCCGGGGAAATTCATCCGGGAGGCCCTCTCCCCGAAAAATCGGTCAAGAGACTTCGACCCTTTCGCCGCCGCCATGGAACAGACTCGCTGGGACGGCGACGGCCGGCAGAAATCCGGCGAGAGAAAGAAAGGCCGAGGGAAAAAGATCTCCAGATCCCTGTCGCCTTTCCGGGTCTCCGACATGCTCTTCGAACCCGACCCGACAAATGAGCCCGATAAAGGCCCGGCGACCGGCTTCTCCTCCTTCTGGCACCGGCGGTGGAGGATCAAGGACCTGCTGCTGTTCAGGAGCGCGTCCGAGGGCCGGGCCGCGGGGCCCGGCCTTCTTGGAAGGCCCCGCCGGGACGACGCCATCGCCAAGGATTCGAGTTTCGGGTCGGGCTCTAGCAGAAGGAGGGCCGGGCCAGGAGTGTCGGCCCACGAGCTGCACTACACGGCGAACAGGCAGCTGTCGGAGGAGATGAGGAGGAGGACCTTTCTGCCCTACAAACAGGGCCTATTGGGCTGCTTGGGCTTCCACCCGCCGGCCCACGATCTGTATCCAGCCCAGCCTGAGAAAACTACTGGTTGAGGAAAATTGAGAATTTGATGATAATTGGATTAAATTACTCGTAAATCGTAATCTACCTTTTTTGGTTTTTGATTTTTTTTTTTTCTTGTGCACATTTTTTATTTTTATTTTTTGGAATTTTTCCTTTTATTGGTGCTATTAGAAATTTCTGTATCTCACAGTGTATATTTATTTTTAAGAATGAAATGTTGATATATGTAATTAGAAAAAATAACTCAATTTCATGCATCTATACTTTTATTCATAGTAATTTATTTATTCATATAATCTTTAATATTAATAGAGGACAGTGGTAAATATAATACTTAACTAAATCATTATCTTTTACATTTAGGTCGGTGGAGCAACTAAAGTTGATACTCGGTTAACAAAAATTCTACGGAGTCATTGGATGGTTTTCTCATGGAGTTATTCATCACTTAATGTAATGACACTTGTTCAAATTGTATTTATTATAAGACACGTGTCAATACACTATTACTGAATAAGTGTGGATGACTTCATCAGTCGATCCATCCGATGACTCCATAGCAAAACTAACTCGGATAAATCATAATCTATTTGTCATATTGATTTTTTGAGTGGTTTTACATTAAAATCATATGTCTAGGCAAGCAAAATTTGATTTTTGTAATTTTAGCAATATTATAATAAGAAGCATAAAGAGTGTTTGTTTTGTGAATTTACTTTAAATCAATTTGATAATGTAGTATGACTCGATTGAACAAATAAAAGTAAGAAAATATCTATTATTAGATAGATTGATCAACTTAAAAGGAGGTTGTCATTTTTCTCTTAGACTTGCCGCCATTATTTAAATTTTTTTTTTAAAAAAAAAAAAAAATCTGAAGGATTAGTCATGTTTAGCCAATTCACTACAAGAAAATATGAAAATTTGTAACCAAAATATATTCCAATAAAATTTCAACGCTAATTTTAATAGATATTTAAATTTCATTATTTCTGTTTGACTTATCCAATAGATCCAAACGAAAATTTCAATATAAATATTCCGTTGCAGTGAGAATTAATATTTTTTTCAAAAACAAAAAATGAAGAAACATCATGATGAGGGGTCATATTATGATAAGGAAATAGTTATTCTTGCATGGGAAAAAGTTGAGCCACTAAATTAGCTTTTAGGATAAAAAGGTCAATTATATTCCATAAAGCATAGAAAAATAATCCAAATTAAATCCTCTAATTGTGTGCTAATGCTTCCTTTTCCCTAACTAATACTTATTCGTTTGCAAATCATTTTAGTGAAGGGAATAATAAATGAACCTAACTAAAATAAAATTGAACTAAACCGTGGGTGTAATCATTTAATCTCATGTGATTGTCTTTTTAAATGAACTATTTTTATTTTTTTTTTACCTTTTTTTTGTTTATTTTAAATAGAGGGAGATTCTACGGTCTCGTTGCGAAACCATTCCGTTGGAATTTGTAACCGTTAAATCAACTATCCACGATGGTTACATGATGATCTAACGGTTACAAATCTCGACGAAATGATTCCGTAACGCGACTGTAGCATTTCTCTTGAAAATGCTTTTATTTGATCTCTTTATGAAAGCAGCTGATGGATCATAAATGTCATTAGTTAAGGTAGAGTCTAATTAGTAGTTGGTTGAGGCTAATAAATGGTGGTACATATATAAAATGTAGGCAATGTCAAACTATTTTTATTGTAAAACTTATTTTATGGTTCAATTACCTTTTCATTGTTATTATTCATCTTATAAACATATTGTTTTCATTTTATTTTACGAAATTTTTTTAAAAATTTTCATATAATATTATTAGTTTATATATTATGGACAACATACTATATCAATTATATTAGTTAATTAATTATTTTATATATTTACTAAGTTATCTAAACAAAATTGATTTATTGAATCGATTTTTCTATTTTTCTAAAACTTTTAGTACAAATAAATACACTCTTTACCATAATAATTATTTACAAAAATTGAATTAAAGCAATTAGTACCTAAAAAGTTTGAATAGTTTATTCAATATTCTTATACCTATTTTCATATATATAGTTTAGAACCCCCCCTCCCCCCCCAACCAAATATCTGGTTTAATTTGTCACTATTTTTAATCTTTGATAATTTAATGCAGTGTTTTTTAGGACCCATCAACATTAGCTTTTTTTTTTTTTTTTCAAGTTCTACAATTAAATGAAATATAATTAATTACTCAACTATCTTCTTGTAGTGCCATTAATATATACCCAAATGAAGAAATATCAAAGTCTTGATAGCCAGAAAATAAATAAATAAATTTGGGATCTAAATTCTAAAGTGAGTCTTGTAGTTGTTAGGTTGTCTAACTCATAGCTATAGTACTCTAACTCATAACTATGAAACCTTTTACCTACAATTTTTTTATCTAATTGATTATTATATATTGGAAAACTGAAAATATAACTAAAATATCTTTTTAAAAAAACACACACACACACACAAAAAAAAATAGATAAACAAAAATTAAATTTATCTAGCTATTAGTTGGTTATACCTTATTCTTTTATAAGTATGCATATTTCCTGACATAAATCACATACCTTATCAAAAAAACTAACGTAAACAAAAGCATGACATTTTTTTGGTACAGGGACCTTCCGGTTTCCGGATTCACAGGGGAACCGACTAATTTGGAATCGAGCCGGGTAGGACCACAAGGGCAGCAAAGCTCTCCCTCGAGAGTTTTAACACTGCTGCATGACATTTTGACATTGTAAGTATGCGTCTTTTGTTTAAAAAATATAACGATTCAACCCGTCTAACCGTTAAGCTGCCTCGAGTAACTATTTATATAAATTATAAAATAAAAAATGCAAAAGAAAGGACTTAGCAACTCAAATTTCCACCAAGAGTTGGTATAAGTTTGTCTTTTTTAGCTATTTGTTCCTGAAATTATATAAAAAATAAAACAATATAAATACTCTGGAATAATTTAATTTTGGGTTGACTAATTTTGACTCCAACTCTCCAAGTAGATGCAGTGTGAACATTTGCAGCAGCTATTTTTGTCTTAGGCAAGAAAAAATAAGAAAAAAATAAGAAAACGTGCGGCCAAAATCCAGAAATTAAATACAGCCCACCACCACCACCACCACCGCGTGCCGTCGCCATCAGCCCAGGGAACCACCCGCCGGACTTCTTTGAAAATCAAAGACATAAGAAAGTTCCTCCTCTTTAGCCCCATAAGTCACTCCTAAGTCTCAATCATGTTCGTACCCAAAAATAGGGTTGGTAAGATGGTCCCATAAGAAATCGATGGACCGGATGGGCCCATCGGGCCAAGTGAGATTTTTCGGACCCAATAATACAAATCTATATATATATAATTGTTGGCTCATGAGCATTTAATAAAACCTATTAAATTATACGGCAAAATATTTTTTTTCCCTCAAAAAACCGTTACTTTTTATTTAGTTAACCTCTCATTTAATTATTAGATAATCAACACACTAATCACTTCGAAATTACAAAAATCATTTTAAATTTTTTATTTATTTACAGCTGACCATATAATGTGTTGACTAATTAACGTGAGTAGATGTTATTGTTGTGGTTACATCTCAATTAACTTCTCTTGGAAACGTATTTAAAATTCCTAAATAAATAAATAATTCACAAAAAAAGATACATACCAAAATATACATTACACCCAGTATGATAAACATTCCTAAATAAATAAATAATTCACAAAAAAAAGATACATACCAAAATATACATTACATCCAGTATAATAAACGCAATTAAAAAAAATAAATATTTCAGCTCCTTTAATTGTAAATTTGGCAAAAATCATTAATCATTATATGCATACAAATACTCACAATACTTTATTTATATATTTGTGCAAATGCACAGGTCAAATACTAGTGTACCCCCAAAATTGGCATATTACACGAGACCCGAGTGCCATGGAGGCTTGAAATGAGTCGAAGGCTTCTTCTCGAGTCATTATAGCAGCTCGTTTTCCGGTTATGGTACTAGCCTGATGAATTCTCGTACTCCCAATCTGTATGTCATTGAAAACGAACTAGAGAAAAATAACACACGGAAAGTCACCAGAGAAAGAAAGAGGTTATAAGACACTACTATCGAGCCTTACACGTTAATCAATCACCCATGCAAATAGGCACGATAACCAGTTAAACAAAGGTCCGTCATCGTAACCTCTATAGATTTCAGAGGGGTGTCTCGATAGATCAATCGAAAGTGATTTTGGGTGAGGTAAAATTATAGCAGCCGTTTCGTTCTCCTATGCTTAAGAGCAGCTGTGTAATGAAATGCTCGTTTATTTAACGTCATACTTTTGTTTGGTAAAACATTTACGTGCAGCGAGCCATTGGTTTACTTTGCTTCATGTGTATAAAGAGCAAATATCTTGCACTGGTTAGGTAAAACAAAAGATAACATTATAGACTGTCTTACTGCTAATGTAAAAGAAGTCTTTAACCATAACTCAACTCAAGATTCCAAGAAGTTGACAACTCTCTTCATGTCATTTATTATATAGTGTTTTTTATATCATTTTCAGACACACTCAAAACAAAAATCTTACATCAATCTCTACAAGTCAAATACACACCCTTAAGGCAGCTCTGCGCAAAGTCTGACGATTGCACGTAAGCCTCCATTTGCCAGAAGCTGAAAATGTTTTCATAGTCGCACATTAAAAACATGATCAAAATCTACCATTTGAGGTAACAAAAAAAGCTCACACAGAGCCTGGGATATTCTTCGGGTGGGATCTTTTTGAAATAAAAGCCTCACAAAATCCTTCGACTCGGACGAGAGTGAAGGCGAAGGTTTTTTCATTCAAACTAGGGTTAGATTTCGAAACTTCCTCGACAATGTCGGAATCTGTTTAGCACAAGGCAAAAGGCAATCGCATTCAGAATCTGGGCAATAACTGCCTTAGCATAAAAACTTCAGAGCATTGAATCATCCCTACTAAAGCACATTATAAAATAGAGATGTCATCTAACATGGGATTTAGCTAAGAAAATAATTCCACATGCTTTTGAAACACAAATCCTCAGAGAGAGAGAGAGAGAGAGAGAGAGAGAGAGAGAGAGAGAGAGAGAGACCTCATCAAAATATCGTATCAAGAAGTCTCCCCCTTCACACAATCTGAAACTATTAGCACATTTAACATCCAAATGTTATATGATTTAAAAGTCTGGCAGAAAACGCCAGTAATCAGGTAAAGATTAATCCAAGAAAACTGCAAAAACCTCAAGTGCTTTCTCAATTGGCGGGCAAAAATCCCTTCTATGGCGTGACGTTTGAAATATACACAAAAATAAAATAAAATAAAATAAAATCAATGTATGACAACTCTCTGCAAAAATTCTCAAAATCTTTACATATAAACATTGTGAGACTTAATATGAGAAATAGGAATGGACACTTACATAGTCCTAAGAAATGGACTTCTTTGTGGTGGCAACGTGCCGGTTAAACGGTTGTTTCCAAAAACCTGAAATTCGGGTGAAAAAAAGAAAAAAAGAAAAAACAGTTACAGAATATAACAATAAACAACCCAGATGAGTGATTAACTCGGAGTGTAGTTACAAGTGGGTTATAGACCTATGGTTGAGAAGCTGACTCCAGAATCTCTTCCCGCCAAATTGTTGAAGCTCAAATCCCTGAGACAAACATAACACGAATTAGCCATTATTGTACACCTGTCGTTCATTTTTTTTTTACTTGGTTTAATTTGTCGAAAGTACGAACTTAGTATGTTATGTGGTACATTGTGCATGATACTTACAGGAGTATCAAGCTCTGAATTAAACCAAAAAACGAAGGTATGGGCAACTCCCTGCACATGGAAAGAAAAATAGTGACAGAATAAAGACCTTTTAGCTTCGGAATCTCAGTTTTGTAAAATTATTCAACGATTCTTACAATGTGGAACCAGATGCCAAGGTCAATGGAACAGATGAGACATGAAACAGAACTTATGTACAAGTTTGTATACACTAAGCACGAGATTATAAGATAAATCCTAAGTGGTCACTCACCAAAAAAACATACAGGCCAGTTTTATTCTCTTGGAGAGTCCAGACGTAAGAACAATACCTTAAACTTGAAAATGGCAAAAAAAATTGACGCCACTTATGGAAAGGGAATAAATCGAATCAAAGAAGAATAAATTCTGCTTTATTTGTCTCTCCATGCAGTAGACAAAAATATATTAAAAAATGTATCTGATTCCATAATTATTAGTCGATAGACCAAGGCTGTAATTAAACGATCAGATAATAGCAGCAACATCAACAAAATTAAATTTAAAATTTCTCCCAATGTAAAGCTTAGAGGTACATTACATATAAAGTAACCGCATTTCCTCTAAATCTCTTGTTCTGACGTCCTCCATCACTGTCGATCAAATTGGACCCCAAAATCAACGTGTTTGCCTGTGGGCTAGCGGCAAAACCCATATTGCCAAATCTGGCATCCATTGCCTACGAAGCTAAGGTTCAACACTCTCATGTGACCAACATATATTTAGTTAACAAACAAA